ACTCCTTCCCTCTACGCAAAAAATCCTTAACTCAGTGGAGGGTATCACATAATTTTTTCAAGAGGTTTCATCTCATTTTCCGCGTCAATAAATATTCATTCCCTATCGATCGTGGCACACTCAAATTATTTTCACTCATTATTAAATTTTAATCGTAACATTTAAAGTTCTTTGGAAGCAATCTTATCGACTCTTTGACTTTCGAAGTTTTCTGAGTGCAGAGCACCTATGCTCTGCTCTCCTCTACATGTTCCATGAAGAGTGCGTGAATCTTGTGTAACATGGAAACACTGCCGGTTGAAATTAGACAATTTTCAATAAAGACGGTTTGTGAAAAAGGTCCGACTACATCATGCTGAGGGCTTATCGGGCCCCATTATTAATCGCAAAACATTTCTCGTGGCGGAGATTTTGAAACCATTCATAATTAAAAATTGATGCATTTTGTTGCTTTCAAATGCGGAGAAAACTTTTGAAACCGTTTTGAGAAGTCTAGGATTTTTACTTGTTATTCTGGTAAAGCATTACCTAAACGTGCCGATGATAATGTTCGGACAATAAAAATAAAAGCCCAGCTGTATACAAGGATTTTTAAATAAATTGAAATCATGTGTAAGACAACAGATAACACTTCATCAAGACAATTGGTCGTATTTTTGGGGAAAAATTCAATTGAGATTCTTCTCGATTTGAGTGAGAATTTCTCTCGCATTCAGAGCGCTCACTAAAAATCACCAATAACGCAACGACATGGCGCCTGTTTCGAATTACGGCTGTTTTGTCTGTTTGGAAGTGCATCGAGTTACACCGTTTGCGACAGGGGTGACTCATGCAGAATGATTCTGCCAATAGTGCCTATCTCCAATGGATCCCGATAATAGTCACAGCCGATCGATAAGCTCATTTATGCCGGTTCGACCACCTCCGTTTGAATTTAACCTCTCGTGAAATTATAACTTCCAACGTAAAATTTTGAAGATTTTAGGGTTTGAATGGTTCAGTTCCTGGTTTGGATGATATTTTCGGTTCTGATGCGGCATTTTGAAAGCAAGGGTCTAACTTCTTGTTTAAATCACTAAATTTAACAGGTGTCCGGAGCACAAGTAGAATTTTAGTCAGAGGATTAAACCGTAATATGAGGTGAGGGAACTTCGCCTTGATACTGATGTTCTAAGCTGCCGTGCTAAGGAAAAACGCCGTATGAACATTCGAGGGTTGCCAAATTTCCTCCGATATAATGTGTATTTTCAAGGAAAGTAATGGATATTTTTCCTTGAAATTTTCAGGGACTTTGGATGAAATTGAAAAAAAAATTATCTGAAAAATTGGAAGGAAAATATTCATGAGTTAACCAGGAAATTCGTATTTTTTCAAAGGAAATTTTGCAACGTCTGAAGGTTCATACGGCATTGTTCCTTCGCACGGCGGAATAGCTCTCTTGAATCTGTGATTTTAGGTAAAATTTCTTGAAAAACAAGATTTTGCAAACAATTTGCTTCAAATTCAATTCCTGAACAAAAAAAACAAAAAAATCTTCAAGGTTAAGGTCATAAAGGAGGAGCATAAACCTATGCAAGTCCTGTTAGAGCGTCCTTCCTTTAATTCCATCAAACTCTCCCCGTGATACCACTGCTGAAACCATTGGTAGGTTTATCATTTTCGTGAGCTAAAAATTATCACCATGACATTTGGAAATGCCACTCAGAATGGTCGCATGAGAGCACAGATAATGTATTTGACCCTGCTTTTGCATGGAATGTAGGATGATACTTTTTGGGAGACATTTTCGGTTCTGAAATAAACTTTTAACTATAAGTTAAAGAGCTAAGAAGTTGTGATAAATATTTAAAAATGCATGAAAATACGGTGCAAATGTTTTTAGTAACAAAATTGAATTTTCTTGCGATTTCATGGTGTTAAAGAAATTGCCGTAAATATCCTGTTTAGTGTTCCCAAGAACTCTTATGCAGTAAGATTATACGCCCTGAATGATGATGCTACTTTGGGAGAAAAAATGGTTAAAATCACCAAATTAGTTGTTTTCCACGTGCTATTTTAATTAAAAGGAGTCATGACTATTAATAATAGAGGTATATTCACTCTTTCTGTGATTGGGTGTGCCTATGGGTAATTAACTGTCAGTTGGTTTTTCAGAACAGAGTTTTCCAGTGCAAAATTGTAAAAACAAGCGATAGATGTATTTAAATGAAGTTAAGTATAAAATTTCTGGACGCAGGATAATGGAAATTTTGGCAAGTTAAACTTATTAATAAACAAGCGGTGCTGTATATTTGGGATATGCATTGCAATGCAGATCGAATTTTTTACACACTGGATGTATGATGCATAAATAGTGCTCCTATACCAATTTGGATTTCAGTATGCATTGAAGTAATCGACCTTAACATTCAAATTTCAAAAAATCTATACATAAATAATGATTTTTACACGTGAATCTGAGACATTGATCTTTTGAAATTTTAAATTGAAACACGAAAATGAGTTCCTACTTTAAAGTGCCACAAGATTATGTCAAATAACTAGGCAAATGGACGAATAACGCCATCTGTCTTTCAAAAGTCAAAGAATATTCTTTAAATACAGGGCATACGTATACGATTCTTCGTCGAAACGAGATGCAAAATAAACACTGAATAGTTAAATCAATTATTATATAGCTGCCACACAATTTTAGGTCGTTTTTATGTATAGTGTATACGCCTGTTATTATTATTTATCAACTGTTTCGTCTAAAACTTTTGATCAATCATTCTTTTAAATTCTTGCAACGGGTACAATGTATCTTCTCGTTGACAAGAGTGAGAGAGAAAAAGAACATCAACCATGCTGTCGAGATTAAAATCCTACGTAATTGTCTCGAGATCAGATTTCACTGGATCCCAGTTATCAGAGATTTTGTAGAAAAAAATGAAACATTATCAAGTAATTGCGTTCTTTTTAGGGGTTTGATGTGGCCTCAGGTGTCATGACTTTAACGCTGGATTTGAAATTTTACAATTGTGGTAATCAGATTAGTCTATGACAACTGGAGAAACTTCCACATGTATTGAGAATGGATTTGTTTATTAAATGTCGGAATATTTCAACATTTTTCTGTTTGAAATAAAATAGGGTGAATTATTGAAATTAAACGACAAATGAATGGGCCAATAATCATTACGTAATTAATAGGATCACGCACATTTGTAATTTCCCTGTGAAATTTGAACAAAATCCCAGATCAAAAACTTTGAAAATCAAATTTCCTGTCTATTCATCTTAAAATTGGCAAAGTAGTGAAAAATCTACAATTTTTATTTTTTACTTTTTTTGACTTTTCATTTTAAAAATATTCTCAACACAAAGGATTAATTCTTATTCCCACACAATGTGCAACTTACCCATTTAAATTGCTTCTGCGAAATATGAATTCAAAAGTATTAAATTTTCTATCGTAAACAAAACGAAGCAGACGAATAGGCACTAACAGTATGCCATCTAATATCTATCAATATGTTTTCCCCTACATTTTTTCAACGATTTTTGTTGTTGACGTTGAAAAAAAGATTCCACGAACCATATTGCAGTTTTTGCATATTGGTCGTAAAATTTAATATCTCTCTGTATCGCAAGTTTATTATCGAAACTTTCGATTCCATGACGAAAAAAGGATCCTTTTTTCATCTTCCCTGTTTGCAAAGACCTTTGAAAACTTTTAAAAAGTTCGTGCTAGGAAACCCCAATTGGCTATTTTTTGTTCGAGTAAAATTTACATACAATTTAAGGAACTAAGTGTCAAAAAAAACTTTTAAAATATCAAATAATTTTGTTAATATTTTTGTCAAAAATTTCAGTGTTGAAAAACTATACAGTTGATATTTAAAAGTTTTTTTTAACACTTTTACCTAAATTTTACCACTCGTGTGAATTGTCCTTAAAAAATTCCCCTAAAGAGTTCCCTAAAACGAACATTTTAACAGTTTTTTCAAGAGTTGTCTTTTTGAAATGTAAGAAGTTTTTAAAACTTTTTTAAGCAATCGTTGCTACTAGTTGCTCGTCGACGAGCTGGACGAATTTATACTATAAGGAACTATGTCTCATGCAAACCTTATGCACATAGTTCCTTTTAGCATAAATACAGTCAGCTTAAAAACAGAAAGTGCCGTAGCACAAACTTAAAGACTGACCCACGACATTACTGCCATAAGGATAAACGCCGTAGAAGCATGCTAATCTTGCCAAATTTCCTCTCGGAAAATATTTATTTTTGTAGAACGTCATGATTTTATTCTTTGAAATTCTCAGACTTTTTAAATCGAATCGTCGTCTCCCAGACGAAAGAACGTAACTCCATTCCAAGGTTGCAAAATTGACTCAAACGATTCAATATTGAACAAGAATACACTTGTTCAATTTTTGTCAAAAATTTGTCTGATTTTCGCCTAAAATCAGAAGAAAAATCAGTGAATTTCTAAATCAGGAATGCCCAAAATTCTCCTGGTAAAAATGCAATCAGCGCAAAGAAATTTGGCAACATTCAAACGCAGTTACGTTCCTTCGTGCGGGAAACGACGAAATTTGAAACGAAATCCAGCAGGAAATCGGGGAAAAAATATTTACGAATTTTCCTGAATTTCATTCTTCTTTTTTTAAGGAAAATTGGCAACGCTTGACGGCTCATACGGCGTTTTTTTCTCAGCACGACGGAGCAAGTCGCAAATGCGCATGCCTCACGAAAAGGCGCGACGAGGAATAACCCCTCGCTGAAGAAGAACGCGACGGCGCGAAAAGAAGAGGCCGCGAAAAAGGGAAAAAGGTACAGCGAGGAAAGAGGAACGGATGAACGATTGCAAATCGGGCGGCGAAAGGGATAAGCGAATTGCGATTCATCTCTCAGCTGATCTAGGGGGTTGTCTGGGTATCGTATAAATAAAGGTCAGTGGGAGGGGGTTTGGAAAAACATGGTCCTTCCGAGCCGGAGCGGCCGGGCGGGCGTGTAGTATTCTATCGACTGCCATGCCTGAGTCAGCACTGACCACCGGCCCCAACCTGCTTGTCAACCCACCAGTAGTTCCTTCGCATCTGAATATTCATCTCGTGTCCTCTTTCGCCCGCGCCACCAACTCCTCGTTCTCCTTCCAGTCCACCTTCGCGCTTTCCCAAATCCACCGCTCACCGATCCGTCCTCAGCGTCCGCTCTAACCTCAAAAAACACAGTGCGCGCTTCGTAAATCGATCCTTGCTCCCATCGATACATCGAATCCGTTCAATCATCCGTCCTCAGCGTCCGCTCTAACCTCAAAAAACACAGTGCGCGCTTCGAAAATCGATCTTTGCTCCCATCGATACATCGAATCCGTTCAATCATCCGTCCTCAGCGCTCGCTATAACCTCAAAAAACACAGTGCGCGCTTCGAAAATCGATCGTACTCCCATCGATACATCGAATCCGTTCAATCATCCGTCGTCATCGTCGGCGATAACCTCAAAAACCCATACCCACCGCGTCGTAAGCAATTTCACAACCTCGCTCCGAGAATCGATCGTTGGTCCCATCGATACATCGAATCTATTCTTTCGTACTCAGTGCGCGGTGAACACTCGCATACCCCAACTTGGAGAATCGATACATCGAATCCCTGTATTGTGCTCGCCGAACTCGATTCATCGGCCCCGTTGCGTCATATCGATATCGCGTGTGGTGCGTGTTACTTTTTCCAATCGACAGCGCCATGTGCGCGCGGTGCCGGTCCCGGTGATGCGGGATCCCTGTTCGATCTCCGTTGTTGGTTTCGAGTCTTCTTCGTTTCGAGCATGCGTGTCTGCGACCTCGATAATCGCTATCGTTAGCCATCGACTGTGATTAGTGATGCGGTTGGGAGGACCCCGCCAGTTATGTTAAGCTCAGGGATATCGCCGATCGCAGCAATCCCTGGTGCACCGAGCGACCCCAAGTCGGTCATCCTCCGGTTCCTCGTCTTGATGGCCATGCATGTCGCCGTCGAAAGCTGCGCGGTGCGGACTCCGCGGATGAGTCCCAAGGCCCGGCTCCGGCCGTTCCTCCTGTACGAGCACGTTCCCAGGAAACCGGAGACTTCTTTCGCGGCCAGCGGGCCCCCCTTGGGGCGGATCCACCGAGATGACCACAGGTTCAAGCACCTGGTGCCCATCGATAACCCGGATATCCATTTTAAGGACCCCCGGGAGAGGGAGGGATACTTCGTCACCAAGGTAATGTCCTCTCTTCGCTAAAACGTAGTCGGGCTGTATTTTGCAGTATAGAGCTACCATTCTGCCGTGCTAAGGAGGAACGCCGTATGAGCCTTCAGACGTTGCCAAGTTTCTTTCGATAAAAACTGAATTTATTAGGAAAATTCTGAATATTTTTCGCCAAAATTTCGAGACATTTTTGTACGCAATTCAATTTAAAATATCTGAATATTTCGAGGAAAAATATGCATGAATGTCGTCAAAAATACGTGTTTTATCACGGGAACTTTGGCAACTCTCGAATGTTCATACGGCGTTCCTCCTTAGCACGGCAGCATTGCTGAATCACTTCGTCGTCTCCCGAATTAAGGAACTGAAATTTGTTGCGAGGTTGCAAAATGGACTCGAAAAATTCACAAGAATCTTTCAAAATGATGTACCTGCGCAATTTTTGTCCATTTGTCTGAAGTTTGCATGGGATTAGGAGAAATACCAGTGAAATATTCCATTACCAACGCCTAAAATTTTCCTTGTAAAAAAGCAATTTACGAGGGGAACTTTGGCAATATTGATATTTAATTACGTTCTTTCGTGAGGGCAATGACGCCTTTAGAAACAACATGTGTGCCATTTGTTTCCCCGCACAGGTAAGTGCTTTTTCAAATGAGTCGAAAATCATATAGTTCCTAATTGCAAAATAAATTATATTTATTATGAATGAAATTGACTCATTTCTGCAATCAGAACTAAAATTTTTAGTTTATCCGTAAGAGCACTTATGTGCATAGGGAAAATAATGGTATGTGTGTTGTTTCTTAACAGAGTCAGAAAGTGCAGTTCCTAGTTGCAAAATGTAGTCCAAATGCGAGATATTTTAATCCAAGGTAATGTTTTCGGTCTAGTTTTTCTGAGTTTCATCATTTTTGGCTGAAATGCTCGACATGGATTTCATCTTATCAAGGTGAAAGCACCCCGGAAGTGAACAAACTTCAAGATATCGAACATTTTGCTGAATTATTCGTTTGACTTTAAAGTTTTGGCAAAAATGGATCCATTTCGCTTAAAATCGCATCCCGGCTGCCCCCCCCCCCTCAAGAGCTTCTATTTTGTGAATCCTTAAATAAAAAGAGTGCAAACGCGGAATATTACACCGATGTGGTCGGATCAAACGATTAATTTGAAAATGTTTCGCTATGTTGGGTTTACGTAGGCAACGCCTTGCGAGCCATTATTCCTTCGATGTTCACCCCGTTGAGGCCCGTTCTTCTCAGGTTCGATAGTCATTAGCTTTGTTTACATTGACAGTGGAAAGTAGGTGACGTCATAGCATAGCTTCGTTGACGTGAAGGTATGATTTCGTTTTCATCCGAGCCTTTGGGAATCTCCGAGTTTCATGGAGAGCCGGGCTCGATCTCAATTGGCAGTCACGTTTTGATGTCAGCAGATAATTTCTTCCGTGTATTTATATCGATGATTTGTTGCGCTCTTGCAGGGACATGTAGACTGATTAGTCTATGCTGCCCATATATTCTTCGCTTTTTATAGATTGGGAAATCGCATAGATACACTGCTTTCATTGCCGCTTTCATTCTAATTTTTAAGACAATGATACAATGCGATGATACTCATCGCGACTACAAAACAAGGTGTAATCAAATATTAAAACTCTAGTTCTCAAGGAAATTCATTTATCCAAGATGCGTCTAAAGCATGCCAATCGTCCTATCAAAAGCGTTGTCACACCGAGATAAGGCTTCGTTTACAGGATGTTTTGAGTCACTTTTCTCGATCGAGCTGTTTCGTCTATTGACTTATGGACGAAGAGTAGATGCTGCAAATCGACGCCAGGCTACGCTTTTTCCACTGATTTAAATCAACTCGACAACATCGCGAACAGGGAAATAAGCAATAATATACAAGACACCCTGACGACATGACAACCCGGCCGGCCATCTTTGAAACCAAGGCGCCATTGCACGATAAACTCGCCTATTAACATATTAACGCTTTGACATTTTGAGGCGTTTATGATGAATTTTAATAACCCGTGACCCCCCGCCCCACCCCTTCCGCGGGGTCTAGAGAATCGTTACATGGTATTTATGAGCCTCACGAATTTCGCTCGATCTCCTCACCCCCTCCCCGCACCTGCTTCCACCTAGCCCGTTTGTGGGTCGATTTTGGAGTCGATATCGAATGATCCTGATCGATTAATCCCTGTCTTAGCAATTCTCTTTTTGATAGGTCATTCGATATCGATTCAACAACCAAGCCGCTGTTCTTTAGTAGAGCCTATGAATATGACAATATGACGCGAAGTCGAGTGATTTCTTTTCACGAATCTAATTTCATTTTCAATATCATATTTTTGTAGCAGATTGATCGGTCTCCTACTTTCAATTTTGCTGACTGTATCCCGTCGTATTGCTCTCGTGTCTCGAGTGTTGGCTTTTACGACGTCAATTTAATGACACGCTCCCCTTCTGAAAAGTCAAACAACCCCTAAACAGAAACGTATGCAGCTCTTTTGACCGGGAAGACCCTTGTTTCCATCGTGACTGAGGGAGGTTTAACGTCGCCTTTAATGCAGCATCTTAAAACAGCTTTGAGAGTTTTTCTCACTTGTCGGAGCTGACATACAAAGCTGAAATCTTTCAGCTTTCTATAAATCGAGTCGTCGATACTCTCCCGATAAAGGTACTCTAATACGACCCTGCGTCGAAGGCCTTACTAAAATCCTACCAATCTCAGACCTTGACTCGTACTGGCCGTAATTCAAGTCGACTTAAGGGTGGCAATTTAAGGATTGAGGCCTTGACTCATACTGGCCGTAATTCAAGTTGACTTAGGGGTGGCACGTATTGAGGCCGCGAGTCAAAACAGTGTCGAAATTGCGTTGCAGGCTTTACTAAAATCCTACGAATCTCAGACCTTGACTCGTACTGGCCGTAATTCAAGTCGACTTAAGGGTGGCAAGGATTGAGGCCTCGACTCGTACTGGCCGTAATTCAAGTCGACTCAGGGGTGGCACGTATTGAGGCCGCGAGTCAAAACAGAGTCGAAATTGCGTTGCAGGCTTTACTAAAATCCTACGAATCTCTGACCTTGACTCGTACTGGCCGTAATTCAAGTCGACTTAAGGGTGGCACGGATTGAGGCCTCGACTCGTACTGGCCGTAATTCAAGTCGACTCAGGGGTGGCGAGAAGTGAGGCCTCGAGTCAAAACAGTGTCGAAATTGCGGGTTTCCCACGCGAGGCGAAGCGCCAGCTCCGCGGGAGGGCGGCCACGCCACGGGTAAACACTCGACACGGGGCTAGCCCGGGGAAAAGTCTCGAGGGCGGGGAAACACGACTCATCAGAGTGACAAACCGTCCGAATTAGACTTATTAGACTTCTCACCACTCCATTCGCATTCTCAGCGGGCAAATTAGGAAAGCGAGGATCTGGACCGCGATTTGGAGAACCACAAGAAACGGCCCGGTCACGGCTCGCACGTTGACGCGCGGGCGTGAGGTCATCCTGGACATTGTCCGCCGGGCGCTGTTTTGTCTGCCGGGCGCAAGAAATTGGGGAACAATCGCCCTGGCCTTTGTGCGATTCCAGGTTGGAGGTGTTCAAAGGCCCTTGTTTCACCTGTGTCCCTTTGTCCCCGTTGTTCGGCATTGTGGCGTGGCACTCGATAGCCGGGAGATTCCCGATTGTGAGCCTGGGAACTTGGAGTGCCTTATCAATCCCCGAGATGAGGAAGGAATGCGGAGACAAAAGTTAACCCCTGCTGAGGCAACGGGTCCGGCTAATTTGAATATTACTCGTGTCGCGTGCTAGGGTGCCCTTGAGCTGGCTCCCATATACCTAGTTTTCCCCTCCTTTTTGTCCCTTTCTTATTAATTGGAGTGATTCGCCTCTTTAATGGGTCAGGTACGGAGATCCAGCCCTGATAATTTAAGCTAAGTGCACACTGAAAAAAAATTCTCGGCTTTTACTAAGGTCCGTTGGTACCTTTACCATCTCACTTTTTTACCAATTATTAATAAAATATAATAAAATTTTACCAAGAAAAAACTGGGATCAAATAGAACCCTGAATTCTTGGTAATTTTACCCTTTTCTCAGTAAATACACCGAGTTTTTTTTTCAGTGCAGGGTCGGATTTGCCAGTATGTTCACTGAAAAAAATTATGGTAACATTTACTATAAGTCTACTTGATTTTTTACACAGTGATACTATTCAGTGAAAATAACCAGAATTACAGTAGTATTCACCAGAGCTCTGGTGATTCTTACCATAATATCGTAAATGTTATCGTAGAGCCAAGTATTTATCACTATACTTGTATTACTATGTCAGAGTATGGTAAAATCTGGTATATTTCATTTTACAGTGTTTCAGAGGATATCGTCACCCTCTGACCAAAGTATCACAAGCGACATGCGACGTTAAAAATTTCCTCCGTCATTTTATTTTATTACAGATGAATTGTTCAATGAACCTGTCAAAAAATTTCACTGAATTTTCTCCGTGCTCCACATAAAATTCAGTGAAATTTTCAAACAGATTAAACCAACAATGTCTCTGTAAAAAAATAAAATGGCGGCGGAAATGTTTAAACTTCGCATGGCACTTGTGATACTTCGGCCGGAAGGAGGAAGATGACAATATACACTGAAAAAAAAATTCTCGGCGTTTTTACCGCGGTCCGTTGGTACCTTTACCATCTCACTTTTTTACAGTTGGTAATTTTACCAAGACAGACTGGTAAGCTTACCTAAAAACCGGTATTTTTACTGCTTTTCTCATGTAAAAATACCACTTTTATTGGTAATCAATTCCCGGTAACTTTGCCATTTTGTCTCGGTAATTCTACCACAGTCGATAAAAAATATTGGGGTTTTTGCCAAGGTCCAGTAAAATTACCGAGAAAGTTCAATAATTTTACCGAGATTTCTCGGTAAAATTACCAATTCCATAAATGGTAATTTTACCAAGAAAAAACTGGGATCAAATAGAACCCTGAATTCT